TATAGTTAACACTAACCTGGACCAGAACTTAACTCACATCATACCTCTAAACCTAACTAGTAAAGCACAGCAGAGCTGCAAACAAAGTGAGGATGTTGAAGAGGCCCTCGCTTTATATCAAAAACCTCACTTTCGTAGTAACTATGGTGCAAATGGTCCTCACTCTGTAGTAAAAACAAGTACACACACACACACCCAACCAAAGAAAGAATCAGCAGCTGACGGCGCCCCTGATCCAGCTGTGTGTTTTCATGGTTTTATTCAGAGCTGCAGGAGGAGCAGTGAAGTGATGAAARCAGAAGAATCAAATGAAAACACATTCAGCATTAATACAATATTTTTTGGTTGAAGTGTCATTAATTTTACTGGCCTCACAGATGAATGAGGTCAGATTATCATTCTGGTCTTCTGCTGCCTTTTCTAAAAGCCTCAGAGATCGATAATGCTCAGGGTTTACTGAAAAAAAGCCTACTTTGATGAACATGACCCCTCYATGACACTGGGATGTGGTTACGAGGCGCTGCAGCAACTGAAGCTGTGAAACCAGCCGAAACAAGACGCTCAGTTTTTATCAGGCAGATGCAGCAAAATCTGCAAGAAAATCTTGCTTCAGGCCCTGTCACACTGGACAACTTGTCTAAATTCCTAATAAAAGTTGTATATTTGATCAATTTGTTAGCATTACAGTCTGTACACGCCTAAAAGAAACTTCCAGTTGATTTTTTTCAATTCCATCTTCAACGTAGACATCTTTAAAATGTTCATAAATTGGCAAAAGTTGTCTAAACGTTATAGTGTGACAGGGATAATGATTCTGTTTGCTTTTTAGCTGCTAAACATTTAAACACTCAGACACAAAACCAATGGAGAAAAAAACACTAAAACTGAGATAACACACAAAAATTAACAGATTTTTTAAAATGTTTTTCACACTGGTTCAGATATAAAAACTGCAAACTTTACTCAATTACTCACTTCCTTTTTCTGTTTAAAAGTCAGATTTACATAGAAATATGACACTTTTACTGAAAATGTAGAATGTTGAAAATAACAACTGGACTTTTACTTTAAAGTTGAAGATGTTTCGCAATTCAGAACTGGAGAAAACTTCCTGAGTGTGATTAAAACATCTTCAGATAAAGAACAGACGTCCATATTTATAAATATTTCTTAACATGTCCGGAATCTGAGATTTCCTGAAGATAAAACTGAATTGCTAAAGTTAAAAGATGCAGACCAGCAGAGAAAAGTTGTAAAATAGTAACTAGAAATTTAGGTTGAAGTAAAAATATAATTCTGAAAACTAATCCTAAAAAAAGGGTTATTTAGAAACTAAAACTAGAAAAAAATGTAACTTGAAAGCATAAAGATGGTAATTAAAAGCTAAAAAATGCTACCTAATAGCATCATAACCAACCATGAACTAAAAGACTTAAAAGCATTAAAATTCTATCAAGACGTTAAAGTAGTAAAAGGCTAGCTAAAAGCATTAAAATGCTAACTATAAGCTAAAAYGAGCAAAAGGCTAGCTAAAGCACCAAAATGCTAACTAGCTAAGAGTAGCAAAGCTTTTACCAAAAAACTAACAGCAACAAAAGTTTAACTAAAAGCCACAAGTAGCAAAAGTCTGGCTCAAAGTAGCAGAATGGTGGCTAAATACTTAAAGAAGTCAAAATCAGAGCCAGTAGCTACAGATTTTAAAG